AGGTGGGTCTCAGAAATCAGACATATATCTATTTTTTGTACGTCCAAGAAAACTTGGATATAAGTTTGTTTTCGGAGAATACCATTGGCATTCCAAGTGGCTATTCTAATATCTCTTTTGTCCATTGGTGGTTTTGTTATATGTTTGGGGTTTATTTAATTCTTCTAGCTTCTGGATCCTGTCAGAGAGTGAATCTATTCTGGTTATTAAGGATAATAATAATTCATGAGTAGTACTTTCTGCTAAGCTGGTTGACTGTGAAGTATGCTGCGCAATTTGTGGCGTGGGATTCATAGTTGGTTGTGACCTTTGAATTGGTTGCTCCTGTGAGTTTGTTACCTGAGAATATGTTATTTCATTTCTGACAATAGGAAAAGCGTCTATAGATCTCTTCTGCCTCGTCATTATTTTAGGTTTAGTGATGTTATCCTTCCTTATCTGAAATGTTTTAGCTACCTCACATCCTCTATAGTTAGCAGGAAGTTCCATTAGGCAGTTTATACACTTCGGTTGTTGTTCTGGACTTTTTACACAATCCTTCGTATGATGTTTTCCTACGCACTTTACGCATCTTGATTCTCTTTTGCAAAAGTTGTGCGTATGTCCAAATAGCTGGCAGTTTTTGCATTGCAGAACTAGTTTTGACTTTCTTATGGTTTCTATTCTCTTAGATTAAGGATTGCTTTGATTTCGTAGATTTTCTTAATATCTTCAATATTTTCGAATGATAGCATGAATAGGGGCAATGGTTTTTTATTTAGTTTACGAGTGTTATCCTCGGTTAATTCTATTTCCTTCTTTATTATATTGACAGCTTCTTTACATTTTAATCCTTGACTTTGCAAGTCTTCAACAATATCTTCTGGTTTAGATGTAGATGGTAGACCTCTAACCATTACTTTAATATCTCTGTTCTGACTTTATAGGAATGCCAATTTATTTCTTTGGCATTCAAGGTTGATATGACATTTTTGAAGTCTTCTTCTTGTTTAGTATTAATTTTAAACTGGTTATACCTTAGAGCTGTGGCTTGAAAGGAAATATTATTTTCTGCCAGTCTATGGCGCAATTCTTCATATTTATTGATGTTGCTTGCTATTATCGGGGGAAATTTCACTGTTTTTTCGTTTTTTTCTTCTATTGTTTCTGCTTTCCGTTGTTATCCATTCTACTTCTCTGTTAATTTGATCGCCGATTTCTTTTGCCAGTTCTTCTTCATCAGTTTCATAATTCGTTGGAATTTCAGATTTTTCTTTGTTTAAAATATTAATTTGTTTTTGCATATTTTCCATATTGTTTTGCATTTGTTGCAATGCACTTTCTTTACGAACTAGTGAAAAAAAAAACAATAAAATTTGACAAAACTTGTACATAGCAACAAAATATAATGTTTTATTTTATATTACCATTTATATGCTATATCTTTCTATGACAAATAAGTAAATTATTTTTGCTTATATCTATTTAGTCCCCAACAAATTATCAACAGTTTTTTATTTTAATTATAATTTTTTTAAATGTTATCGATTTAATTAAAAGTGAACAAACCGTGGATGCCGATTTTGGTAAAAGTAAATAGGCCGTGGCTTTGTGGATAAGTAGAACTGTCAATCTCTAAACTTTTATTAGTATATCATCACAGAACACGACAAAAGTGTAAGTTAAAGATTAATTTCTAAAGCCAAATGACTATGTACTTTACGCACTAGTGAAAAAAGTAACTTTTATATTTCTAATATTCGTGGATAATGTGTACGGTTGTAGAAAAAATATTGTATGCAACTCGTGTGTAAAGTCCCTTTTTTGACTCATGTGATTGTCGCACAAGCCGTAGGTGAGTGCGACAACATTCACATTCGTCAAAAAAGGGTAACTTTACACACTTGTTGCATAAATACATATTTTTTGTACCGAAAGAACTAAAACATGCAATTTACTCCTTCATTTTAGGGACTAATGTGTCGTTTTTACTCCCTTAGGACTATTTTAGTCCCTTAATACATAACATGCTATATTTATATATTTAATTTTTATTGTTACACTGTATGTGGCAAGGATTTCTTTGTTTGCCTTTTTTGGATTAACAAAATATTATTTTAATGATTTAAAAATAAACTGTCAGTATCAATAATTATCTGTACCTAAACGTATACAAAGTGAAATCATACGACGCACCAAGAAAGTACCAAATTTTTAAACTTTTTTAATCTACGTAAAAAAGTATATAATAAACTAGATTAATTTTATAAACTAAAAAGTACTATATGGGCTTATTTACATTGTTTTAAATTAATTTTATATGAAAAAATGTGGGTTCCTAAATGGGTACCTAGTTCACTGAGCAGCCAAATTTATATTTATTTATATTAAAATAAAGAAAGTTTCAAGTTCAAAATTAAACACCAAGTTTTATCAGGAATATGATTTTCTAAAAAAAGTGACAATAAAAAGTTTTCCATACTGTATATATATTTAGAGAGCAAATTATATTAGAAAAATAATTTTAAAAAATTATAATCACATAAGTGTGATTTACCTTGTAGAATATCGTATATATTTATATAGTATATGGGTACACACACAAAGAAAGCAGGTTGCCTGCTTGCTGGTTACAAGCGCTTACAAGCGCCAATAACTAGGTTCGATATTAAATACACCCGCACACAGACAAAGCTGGTTGGAACTTGTTGAAAGTGCCGATCGGCGCTGAGAATTTACCGGAATGAATTTCTGATTCTTGGTCGCTGAATGTCGGTGTTAGTGTACAAACACAGTGGAAGCAGATTTCCGCTTACTGGCAATCAGCGCCGAGCTACGCTTATAAGCTTTCAAAATGAATGCATGTTTTTAAATTGGCAAGTACACAGTAAAAGCAGGTCGGCGCCAGTAACCAGCGCTAACCTGCGTTCTCGCTTTTGCCGGAATGACAATTTAGTTTATTTCTGCTTTTGGTACGCGCTGGTTTAGTGGTTGTACCATGGATAAGAAAGCACTTTTTTTTTTTTTTTTTTTTTTTTTTTTTTTGTAATGGGATAAGAAGGAGAAGTTGCATTGCAATCGGAATGAGATTCATAAATATTAGAAGTAAATAAGCACTTAAATAAAAGGAACATATTTCATTTTCAAAAGTTTGCTGCCACACGTAAGGAAAATACCTGAAAACAGAATACTATCTGTTCGTTGTCGCGTACAGGAATTGAGTGAAACCATATTTCTATTAACTTTACACTTGTTCTTGTCCATTATCTTCTACATCATCTCATTTTAGTGCCCCTTCACCTGGTTATCACAACATAGATCAAAATGATCAGACATCCGTTTCCTTAAGCCGACTTAACACTTATCCTCGTCCATTATCTTCTACATCATCCCATTCTAGTACACTTTCTCCTGGTTATCCGAATACCTACTCTTCCGTTTCCTTAAGCCAACAATCAACGACGTCCCAAAATCATCTTGCTAATGATGCTAGATTCCTTAAAAGTAACCAACAACAAAATATAACTGACAATGATATTACAGATTGTATACCAATTCTCTTTCTCTTCAGTTTAGTCAAAACAGAATTCAAAGCAATCAGATCGTAATCACAAAAAGACAATTTGCTAGAAGTTGTAGACGCAACTGAGAACGATTTTTCTCGCTTTTACAGGTATTCACTCTGTACCATTCAGTACCGAGACAACAGCGCAGATGGGCGCTGATTGCCGGTAAGCGGAAATCTGCTTCTACTGGAGTGCGTTTAGAAACCACGCACGGCGCGTCTGGACCCTATTCTAATGTATGTGGTGAGACACGCCGTGCGGGGTTTCTAAACGCACTCTTGTGTTTGTACCCTTAGACGTGCATTTCCTCGCACCGAGTATGGATATCGGATCATTAATTTTTCAAAGAAACTCATTATGGGACAAACGACTTAAGTCCCACAGCAATAGGGATAGAGTGCGATGTTTTACTTATGTTTAATACAATATTGTAATAACCATAATATTTTATTCATCTAATAGTAACCTTTCTTCTGGAAGCATTGACTGCCTGTACCAATTATACCACGTTTCGGTTAACCACATTTTAATTTTTTCCAAGATGGTGGTGTTCAACATACATTTTTCATTAGCGATTTACTGGATGTGTACCTTGCTTCGTGCGTTGCATCCTTAGAAATGTATTTTCTATCAATAAAAAGTCTTTGTCGTAAGGTGAATCAAAAATCTTTGCATGAACGTTGATTTTAAACTGGCCGAAAACTGGCGTTCATTGTGTACTACTAAGATGACTTGTAAGCGCTGGTTTTCGGATCCGGAAATGGTTGCTGATTAACCTGCTTTCTTTGTGTACGTACCCTATAGTAGTATATAGCAAAGTTTACTAATTTTTATAAAAAAGATTTATATTCTACAAAATCTTTCTTAAATTTTTTAACATTCACAAATGGTTTAATTTAAATGTAATAACATGCACGTGTAAGGTACAAAATACCTTAATCCGTCTATAGTTATCGATTTTAAACAAGAAGGAGACCGGACATCGTGGAAGAAAGACAGCGAAATTAGTAAAGAATTTTAACTCGATTAAAAAACGTTGTTTCTTTTTCCATTTTCTAAAAAAACTAATAGACCTTTTTAAAATCGGTTTTCGGTGATTTTCCTTCTGATTTATTACCTTGTAAAGTAGATGATTTATATAAAAAACAAAAAAGCTGACTTATTATTTTTATGAAATGAAAATTTGTTGTTATTTTCAGTTTTCAACCGCCCTCTGTTTCCATAAAAAAATTATTACGATGTTGTCAAGCCAGCACTTATCTAGATATCAACACGTTCTTTATTGTACTTTTTAAATTTTTTTTTAATATTCTTTAGTTTTTTCATAATTTGGGAAAAAGAATAGCATTGAAACTCCTTTACCCGAAAAATTGTACATACGTTCTTAAAGATAAAATACTTAGGACTAATATTAGATTCACACCTCAAATGGGATGTTCAAACCCAAATACTTACTTTGAATCTGAGCTCGTTGACTGGTGCTCTGGCGTATCGGATACCTCTAAAGGAATAAATCGGTTTAGCAAGACGCGACGTGATTATCGAGCCTTTGATTTGTCCCAAAGATATCGTGACTAAGGGTTCCGCAATGGTTTCAGATTTGATGTGTAGGAAACCTAGGACGCATATTAAAAATACTACCAAGCTGAGTTCACCCATATTCCTGCAAAAAAAATAATATTCGCTTATAATAATAGTAGTTTACTCCTTTTACAAAATTTATTTAGTGTATTCTCTTAATTTTGAACTTCATAAATAAAAACTAAAATATAAATACTTGGAATAAAGTAGCAAGAAATGATACCCATTTTCAACGCGTATGATATTTTGATTATGCTGTAACTCATACGAGTAGGAAATGAACATTCCTTGCGAGTTGTACTTTTTCTTTAGCTATAACACATACCCACTCTTTATTATTTTTATAATAAATAAAATTAAAATTGCAATAAAACTTTTAAAATGTTATCTGGTTTCAGACATATGCATTTCTAGAGTTTTATGTGACTTATCCTCTATATTAATTAATATTCCTAAAGAAAGAAGCTGAGGTTACAATACAAAACAGCATTTTCTCATTTTGACTAATTTTTAATATTATGAAATAGCCGTAGAAAAAATATAATGTTCAACTTACAAGGTTTGATTTACAGTATTCGCCTGCGCACATGTCATTTTTATAATACTCGTAGACAATGAGTACCATTTCTTGTTCTAATAACAATATTCTATTTCAACATTTTACTGTAGTCTCTTGCTGAAAAGTCCGTAGTAAATAAACGCAAACGAAATATTTTATAAAAGGTCCTTCTCTTTACATAAAATGTCGTGGCATCTGTTTGATATTAAAAAATCACGTTAATTTTATTTCATAATACAAAATTCCATTAAACATATATTTTAAATAAATCTAATAGTTCATTATGATGCTAATAAACAAAGTCCGGTCCCTGTCACAGAGTTCGGGTCTCTGCCCAGTTCCCCCACTCCGTTAACCTTTCTTTAAAAATTGGCAACATTTACGCAGGTTAAACACCGGTGTATGTTATTTCTGGTCTCTTTTATCTAAGGTCGCGCTCGAGGATTGTACAGTAGGAGAAGGTTACGGGTCCCACAGTTATCTAGATTATATAAAATTGACCGGCTATATTGGTACCCTCAACACCAAAACTGGACAATTGAGAATTGGCATGTTTTTTTTTTTTTTCGGATAAGACCAGAATTGGCCTAAGAAGAGATGACCATCGTATTTGAGTTCTCAAAGCTCCAGGAAGACGAGCGAGACTCCAGGCCGCCAGATCTGTCCCAAAATATCAAGGAGGAACTGTAATATTTTTGTGAAGGTATTATGCTTAGAGCAAAAATACCATTGTTACCACTTCAACAAACTTCAGCTGGTCGGAGGTATAGCGATTTAGTGCTAGAACCAATCGTTAGGCGATAAATCGATTTTTCAAAAAAAATCGATTTTTTTTTAATCAATCGATTATTTTGAATAAATCTACTTTCGCTTTGTATTTCCTTTAAAATCGATTATTACATTATCTTAAAAAACGAAAATAATTTATTAAAAATAACGGATAAATCGATTTTCATAAAAAATATCAGAATAATCAATAAATCGATTATTTTTGTAACCCCTATTGGTCGCTTGCTTTTATCCGAGCATTTAGCTCCAAAATTTAGAGATTCGGATTTTTTGATCCCGTTATCTTTGAAACCGCATTCGATTGTATAATAAATAATAAATATTGCTATAATTTGGATTTTTTTTAGTAAATGAAAATTTTGTTTGAGTTGTTTGGGAGTTTATAATGTAACATTTTATTAACAATGTGACTTTAGTATTTTTTTGCTTATACTAGATCATATTGTTCGTTTTACTTTGTTTTAAGACTGAAGATTCAAATGTCACTTTCAATTTAACCGCAAAAATAAGATGAACCTTGAAATTTTAAGTAGGTCATTCCGTATTTCATCTAATATTCTTATAAAAATACGTTATAAAAATAAAATTTAGCTAACAACTATGCGTATTTACTTCTTATTTATCTACTAAAACAGGCTAAAAACCATCTTTAGTAAATATTCTTATAAAACTACTTTTTAAATACAAAATTTCGTTAGCAACAATGTCTATTTACTTCTTATTTAAATTAAATGTTCAAAATTTTACCCTTTTGTAAATTTATGTAAGTAATATGAAATCTGATTTCTGAAACATCTATTTGATGCTTAATATTTATTGAAACCCCTTAATGCGGATCTGAAGTATTTAGCCCAAAGGATCATGGCGCTTTATGTCAAAACAATAAATATTTACCGCTGAAAACGAATATATTTTTTCTTTCATAACATTGGTATTTGTATTATAAGTACATACAATTTTTCAAGTACCATCGTGGCATTTTGATCTTGAAATTGAATAACTAGATCACTTTAAATTGCTAAAATACCAACAAATAAATCAAAAAACAGCTGTCAATAGTGATTGAACTTAGGCGGAGGTGAGCGTTGAATGGAAAATCGGAGCAATTCGGGTGGCGTCGTGCAAACAACGATTTTCAATTGGTGGGTTACTTTGGGTTAAAATAGACAACATGCACAGTGTGCAATGTTACATCTTCGGTCTCTTTAATCGCGACGTATTTTTCTTATGGTTTCAACTAAAACGTTCACACCTGTAGCTTGTAAAAGTTGTCGTTTTAGCTCTGGATAAGAAACACTGGGGTTTCTTTTAGTAATTTGGCAATTTGTTCAGATGTGACTCTTTCACGACTTTGGGCCTGTTCTTGAAAGTTCCTAGTTCCAAGTACCTTGCATATGTTTTTTTATACAACACCTTGGGCACAGAATAATTATATCCCAGAATATTAACTTTCAGGCGGCCTCTTTGATGTCGCGTGGCCCAGTTCTCGTTAGTCGTTGGAGTAGAAATCAGGCGTGTACTTGCTAATTGTGATCATGACTGCTCAGGCCCGTACTTAATGAATCGCAGTAATGTTTATAATATACGAATATAATAATTATTATACAAAAAATGTTCTAATCATAAATAGTTATTTGTTTAAATAGGCAGAGAAGTAACAGATTTACTGCCGCTGCTAGCATTTCATTCAATTAAACTAGCCAAGGCAGTGAATCTAATTCTTTGCCGTGCGAAACATATAATTTTTTCCCCGATTGTTTGTACAGTGTGACTTAAAAAAAAAATTAAAATGAAAACTTTTTTATAACAGATACAACTCACAATTTTTAATATTTCTTCTAATCGTATGTTATAGGTAATAATTAAATCGTATTTTCTAATTATTATTGTGTTAGAGTTAAAATTATAATAAAATTCTGAATTTTGTCTTTCTTTTTATAACTATGTACTTATTTTGAACCAGTAAAAGTCATCGCTAATAACGCGACAATTATCGTTATTTTTTAACTTATTTTTAACCGGTCCAGAATGTCCCTAAGATAGTTAATTTATTATACAGTGACTAAATTTACTAGAGTAACTTTTTTGGTCGGATACTCATGCAGAGCAAGATTTAAAAAAAAAGAAAAATTTTTTTTTTAATGCCTAGACAGTAAAAGTGTTACTTCTATGATCGATAAATGTCACTAAAACTGACGTTTAATGTCAATCGGAGAAAAACTAATTTATAAATACATAAAATAAATCAAATAAAGTAAACCAAATTATTATAAGTTTTTCCAAATTAACATTTTTGTTTTATTATCAGAACTCTTAAAATTTCTATTAATATTCTTAACTGTATAAAATATTCTTAATCTAAAATACAGTTTAACTACATAGTTTATAGGAAATTGTTGGCATGGATGATGGAATATAACAGGACTGCTTAAATTGAGTAATTGTTTTAATATTGTGGTTAAAAGGCAAACATTTTCAAAATTATTATCAAACACAACTCCTAATTGAATAATAAAATAAAGAAAGCTGTCACTAGGCATCAATAAATTTCCAAAAGTTTTATGTTTAGTCTCATATGCTTTTTGAAGACAAAATATTGTTGAATCATCAAGATCCTTTATTTCATTACTATAATCTTGACAAATGGTACATGTGTGTTTATTTAAACATTTTTTAATTAAATAACCACATACGTATCTTTGAAATTTTTTTTGTAGGTTATCATTTTTTCTGTAGTCTGTTTCAATGGCTATTTCATTCTCGGGTACAAAAAAATGTGGAGGAGTAGGTTGATTGGATACTTCCTCATACTGCTGAATATCGGTTAATTTAAGTAATATTTTTTCAGAGTCTCCTTCACAGTTTTCTGTACCGGAATGAAGCAGCTTTATACATAATAATTTTTTAAAAGTTCTTTTAAATTGTATAGAGGTAGGATTAAAGCAATTACCATTTTGTTGCTGAATGGACCCAAAAAAATTTTCGAGGCATTCTTTATTTAATCTTCTTGTTAACAGAAAGCTTAAATGTTTATTTAAACAAGTTGTCCATAGCTGAATCAGTGAATTAATAGTTATTTTAAAACATTTTATAAACCTTACCCGGTTGGTGAAATCATCACCATTTTTAGTTATCACACTAACTTTGTCAAAACATTCTTCACATTCCCTTAAAAAATCAATCTAAAAGTTATTACCTTTAAAGGCCTTTTTAAATTGTTTTACGTCAGACATTTGTGATGAATTTAGTAAGTCAAATAACTGGTCCATCATTATAATAAATTTTATTGTATCCTCACCAGAAGACGGAATAAAGCCAAATCTTGAGTATATTATCATACCCGAAGCAACTGTCTTACTAAAAAGTTGAGTAGCATATCTTACTTTCATTTTTTCAAAGTTGTTTGGATATAAGTGATTATCTGTTAATTTTGGAGCAGCTCTAATGGGATATTTTTTATCGTGATTATAAAAATCTTCAATATATTTCCAACATATTTCTTTACCGTCCGGTTTTGCAAAATTATGTTTTTGTAAATTATTCCTTACGGCTTTTATTAAATGGACAGGATCAAACATATAAAATTTTTTTTGATTATTTACAAAAAAATAAGGTTGGGTTGAAACTTATCTTTAATAAATTTTTTAACTGTATATAATTAGATCCCAAATCTGTCAGTAAAACACAAACAGTTAAACCGATATTTTTTAGTTTTATAACCAATTCATCAATAATAATTTTTAAGGATTTTGCTGGACAGCTTGTATTAAAAAAATTATAACACAGTGGTTGAATCCACTTAGTCTTTATCCCCTTAATCATAAAAACAGATGCCTTGGTGACCTATTTAAATTTTTTTGAGCCCAAACCATCATCCTCCATGCCTACAATTGTATCTGACCCAGTCATAAAAAATAAATTAAACACGATTAAACACAATTAAACGCGAAAAATCAACGCCACCACTGAAATTTATACACAGCGCAAATATAAAACTATCGGACACGCCAATGATCTAGGCTAATCTGTGCTTGCTACTCCAAACGCATCGATAGAAATCTGACTTTCCCCTTCCACCGCAAGATGAGATTCTGGGATATACGTATTCTGTGCCTTGGGTAACGCCTAATACCTCTGTTACGTCTCTTTGGGACATACCTTGTTCAATGAAAGCAATAATTTTGCCCCTCTGCACATCTCTTAGTCAAACATAAGGCATGTTGTTTTTTTTTTTGACCGCAATAAAATTACCGGAGAATCGCGATTTTGGTACTGAATACAAAATTCACAAGATAATAAATCGCAGCAGTCGTTTCTTCTTTATCATAATGTTTGTTTGGAATAAAAAGCCTTATCTTAAAGTTGTCTACCATTTTTGTTTCTTACAAAAAGTTTATTTAGAAATACAAAGTGATTCCATATAAGTTTGGTTGTGTGTAGTTCGAATAACCATGTCCTTGGGCTAATCATAATGTTATATTGTTAGATAAAGATATGGAAAATTAGTGGCCATACAAAAGGTCCGGAGTTCAGATCCATGTTAAAGAATAATTAAAATAAATCTTTTATTTTATAAATTAGTAAAAGTCATAAATTATTTTTAAAATACCTAGTTATTTTATCTTAAAATCCTCAAAATTCATTTTTATAATTTTGTAGTTTTTCTTTAGTGGGTGGTGAAAATAAATATGCTCTACAACTTGAGTGGATTGTCCGTATCGCTCTAGACTTGTTATCAGCAAATTAAAGAAACAAATTAATATGAAACTGCATTTAACAAATTATTCAAATATTCAATCTTTTTCTGAAAATATATTTTTGGTAGGTATATTATGACAGCTTGCAGAAAACTTTTCAAGGCGTAAAAGCCTACTTTCGATAGTAGTCGTAGAAAGAAAACGATTAGTTTACTCAATAATTAAACAATCGTAGAAAAAATAAAGCGTGCAAGAAGTGGGAAAAACCATGAGACCACTCTTTCGCTTGATGACTCGTGTCACAATTTCCCTGGGCTCCTGGGAAAAGTATTGTTTTTCGTACTTATTGCACAAACTACTAATTTTTCATGGTTAAAAAATATAGTATCAATTTGCGTATCAATTGGACGAAAAGATAATAAATTTCAATTTTAAATTATTATTTTTAGAAACGCAGAAAGTTTTTTTTTGATTGAATGAAAATTTCAGAAACTCAACTTGAGTCATAAATTTCCGTCTCAATATATAAAATTTATGATTAATTAATATATTATGCACTTACCACAATTTTTTACACGAACAAAAAAAAATTATTGACACATTTCACAATGATCCAGCAACATCCAAACTGCAATGGCAGTAAAATGTTTCGGCCCCTTTTATAGACTACAGGATCGACTTCGGTAAATATATGAATGGCGCTCGCTATTTATTTATTTATTTAAATTAACTAAATGGTCCAATCAAAATATCAGTATTGTTACTTATTCCTGTTGTTGCATACTAGTATCAAAAATATTAAATTCCTCTTGGTAACTATGTTATTTAAGTAAAACATTTTTGCATTAAATTAATATAAAATCGATTATTTTTTTTAAGTGATGACCATGTTGAAATTATTGTCTCGTTACGCATCTTTGAAAAAAAAAATTTAAGGAAAGTAAGTGGCGTTTTTCGGCACGAAAGCACCGGAAAACTGCACTTTCCCGTGCGCTAAGTTAAACGCTATAATAGCAGTTAATTTTTTAAAAATAGTACAATAAGTCTAAAAATAAAATATGCTCGATTGGTCCAAACGTGTTTGGCATTATAATTTGTACAGAACACACTTGATTAGGAGTAGTTGTTTTTTTTTGTATTTGCTTAGATAATTTTAGACTTTGTTTTTAGATTTTGCATTATTATAGGTTTGTCAATAAAAGATTAGTATTTTGGACAATTAACAAATTTTTATATTTTTATCATAATATGTCCCAAAAGAAAAGCATAAAATTAATAAAACTTATAAATAAATTTTGCCATAAATGCAAAAATCATCAATTGGTAGATTTTTTATATTTTACAGTCTTATTTCAGTGAGCAACTGTGACGTTATTTTACTAGCTACAAACGGATTAGGGTCATAGCACGGTAGGTCCGAAGGGTGTAAAATAAAAAAAAAACACAAATTGACGTGTTCCTGCCAAAATCTAATTTATGAGTTCTTTTTAGGATACATTGTAGAGTGATTATTGTAAAATATATAATAAGTTCTAATAACACAAAATGGGGATTTAGTTGACGAGAAGGATTAACTAAAGAATATGAGTGAGATTACACAACGTCTGCAACTTTGCAGATCTGCAAATATGGCGGCAACTTTGCACATTTGCAAATATGGCGGACTTATAGATGCAAGTATCCAAAAAATATCTGTAAATTCGCAATATTTATTACCCCTAACAACACTAAATCCAAATCCACCCTTAAGAAGGTTAGAACATCCTACAACCATGAAGTCTTCTGTTTCTTTTGATTGAATACAGTTCATAGTGTCGTCAGATTATCGAGTTTTTAAACATAGTAATGGATTTGGATTTAGTGTTGTTGGGGGTAATAAACCACAATAAATATTGCGAATTTTTTGGAATACGAAAACTTGATACATGCATATGTAAGTCCGCCATATTTGCAGATCTGCAAAGTTGCCGCCATATTTGCAGATCTGCAAATTTGCAGACGTTCTGTAATCTCACCCTATACTTTTGGTCTTTTATTAGATTAGGTAATCTTATATCGATAGCAACTTTTCTAAGATAAATATTTCAATAAAATAATCCAAAAGTTGTTAGCGTCAAATATGTCAAATTTTCATCAAATTACAGTATAGTTTGGCCTTGACCGCACATGACTCCGACAAATCGTTTTAGCCCAGGAGCGCGTTCAGATGATTTTACACGGGAGTAGACTAATTTTCTAAGATCGTTTGCCCAGACTACTCTAGAGTAATTCTCATTGTCCCAACATTTCTGAACGACAACGAAAGTAAACGTCAACGAATTTGAAAATTAATGTTTTTTACAGTTATTTGTTTAGGGTCGATTCCACCGTTGTGTTAAACGAAGATTAAAATGACATTGTTAATGTAAAAATGTCATCCTTACAGACATTTTATTCCCTTATATAATGTTTGATATTCCTCGCTTCTCGTTGTTACTCGTGTTTCGTAGTTTATATTTTTTACTTATTTATTTTTTTAGTTGTTTTTTTTTCTTTTTATTTTAATGAATGATCTATAACGTCAATAAGACAATATTGTTTATTTTAAAACAAACTTAACCCTATAAAATGCCATGTACAAACACCTTTATGACACAAAAATAATATGAAACAGCAACTTCTGCAAAAGAACTCTACGTTCTGTCAAATTTACTCAAATAAACCCAGTCTAAACTGAGTAAAAAAGACTGCACTCCAGACTAATTTGACTCGACTTTCTGAACGAGAGTAGCTAAACGTCCAAATTGAACGCTCGACTGTTCTTGAACGAACCAAGACCAAATTTATCGCGCTCTTTTTGGTCGGAGCGTGTTTCCTGAACGCGCTCCAGGTAAGGGTATTAGTTCGCCTCATTAATACGTCACCGTTGTATGAATAAATATAGTAGGGTAACCTTATGGACTTATCATTGGAGGACAATGGACATAGAATGTAGATGGCGATACTGTACTTATGTCCAAGTCAGGTCTTTAGGTCATGTCTGTGCTTGAGTATGAATTATAATTTAAAATCTTCTTTTTCATTTCTACTTGTCTTCGGTAATGTATTTTTATAGTTACAATTTACTATTTCAAATTATTACAAAAGCACAGAATACAGGGTATTTGAAGGTCACATAAAATGCGAAAATAATCGATATAATAAAATAAACCAGTTTTTGTTTGAAAAAGATTGAATTAGTTGAGATTGGGTGGAATTTTACTATAATAGGGAACATTTTTTTCTATATTGTGGTTGGATTTTTGGATATATCGCTGATGGTTAATTAAACTTGAGTTGTACGCTGTTAATTTATATTCACTTTTATTTAATGGTATCATCAAATTAAGAATAGGACATGAACAACTGAATATTATTGTTCAAAATGAGACGAATAGACGAAAATAAAAAATGTTTGGATAAAATGTTCTGAAATACAGGATGTTAAGTTGAAAATTAAAAAAGTAATAATGGGTAAATACCTATATAGGTAGGTAGTTATAATTTTATTATTCAATATAATTTTACTAAAATCGGCACTGACAAAATTTAACTAACAGATTTTTTTGCTATTAGGTAAACTTATAACATAATACCAAACACGTTTAGTGAAATTATACTAAGTAATAAAAACATGTAAGCCACTAATTTTCAGTTTTCAACTTTTGACACCATTTGAAAACGAATCGAGTACCAATTTATGGTAGGCACATTTAGGAGTATTATTTTCGAAAGGCAAAATTAAAAATTTTTCATTGTTTTTTTTTTTGTACATGGAAATACTTTGCTGCATGTCCTACAATGATGAAGCTCTCAACGAAGGCGTTTAAAAAAATAAATTATAAATTATAGAAAATGCGAATGTTACATATTTGATTAGATAATTAACATTGACATAAACTTTCATTGCTCAGGACGTTAAGTGCTCAACTTTGGGTTTCGTAAAGATCAGTTACTGACTACTACTATTTTTTTCTGAACTGTTATCAAAATACTACAAAATTTAGCAGAAAGATTGCATTAATTATATTTTTCATATTTTTTCCAAAATAAGAAAGAATGTTTTTATATGTAATTGAATCTGGGTTGGGAAATCCAAACTTGAATGCTTAACGACTTAAGTCTTGAAGGCACTTATATCAAGTTAATTATCTAATCAAATATGTGACGTGGCTTTTTAAAATACCATCATTGTGCGCTCCACAGCGTGTCCATCTTCTACAAGAGAAAAAAGGAGGAAACATTTGTAAAGTTGCCTTGTACAAATGTGTACCAAAAGAGGGCAACTGGCTCTCGTAAGACTTTTTTGTTTAATCGTCTCATTATTTTAACACTAAGCGCCAGCATGGGAAATATATGTTAAAGTTAGTTTTAAGAACTTTTAACATTCAAATAAACAAAAACAATTTATAAATCTATTATTAAAATCCGTGTTGGAACAAAACATAAAATTGTTGAATTTGAAAGATAATATTCTAAAAATGGAAAGGATTTCAGTCGAGAGCCTATTGGACTGAATATTCAGTTTAAAATCGCTTTTCCGGCCTATAAATCTTCAATTGTTTCAAAACGAATAAAATAAAGTAGTTCTGTCTAAAACTAAAATAAATTTGCTATCTCGAAGTCCCCATCGATTATTTCCAAACTTTTCTTTAACGTCTTAGTTGTAAGTTTTATATTACATTTTCTTTAATTTGCTATTTCTGTGGAATCATTAATTTTCATTTGCATTATTGTTCTTCTAAAAAAGCGAAATGTGACTCACGTTTTGCTTGATTGGCTTTAATTTTTGAGATAGTCAACCAGTCAAAATAAAAAAAAATTCAAAAAATAATAAGACATTAATTTATTTATTTAATCAGTTTTGTCTGAGCTAACTGAAAGGCTGTATTCTATAAACAATGAAAAAGAGTGATTGTTGTTTTGAACTACTTAAAACATTTTCACTTGAACGGCGTGCGTGATTCAATTTAAAAATACTTTCCAGAATAAAACCATGTGTTACAGTTTTGACTTCATTTATTACTAAACAGCCAAGTCATATACAAAAACGTTAATCCAAAATCTAAATTAAAAGTAATAACAAATAGCCTATCTACTAGGGTTGGTAACCAAACATATAAACAGAATGGGCGGATTTTGTTCATACTTTACATTATACTCGCGCACTGACACTTAACCTGGATTAAATATAACTGTAAATACAAATATTTTACAAACAAATATACTTTTCCAAACAGTGATAAATTATATAAAAAAAATGTTTTTTTATAAGATTTTCTTTTATGTTCAAAGTTAGGACTTTATAATTATTGTGTCATTCATAGAATTCTGTACTAAATAAGAGCACTGATTTTGGAAATAAATTTTAACCATTTTGGCAAGTTGCTGAACCTTGTAACATTGCATAATGAAATATAAAGACTAACTGAATATGTCTGCCACAGATAGACCACTTGTAGGTCTATTGATTTCGTCTTGAGCTATTCCTAAAGAGTGCAGCTATTGAAAACTTCCTTTCAAGGTGATTTATTTCAACACTCAGAGCCAGCCGAGAGAACATTTTTTTCTTATATTCATGATCAACAGCCAAGATACATTTGAAAGGCGCTAATATATCCGCGTGACTATTTTTTTTTAATTTGTTTTCCAGTGTTGAT